TTTTTTTTTTTTTTTTTTTTCTCTTGGTCAGCGCTTTTCCTTTTTGGGGTTTCTTTCTTTTAACTGGTTCCATTCCACAGTTCAAACGGATACTTTCTTGCCCGAGGGAAGGGGCTGGGGGTTAGATTAGAGGATTGATTGGCTGAGTTCTTGGGATTATTAGGAAAGATTCTTGAAGAAGGTTGAGTGCAGAAACTGGATTATGGCAACTGAGGTGATCACTGAACTAATTAGAGAACTAAAATGCTATTTTAAAATGGCTTGGTCCAAACCCCCAAATTATCACTTCGTCTTTTGAATATTTACATATTTTCACAATAGAAGTGCTACAAGTACATGGTTATACATAACGATGTCCATAATTACACGTTGTACTGGATTCAATCTTTAATTCAAATTTTACACTTTCACATTAACAACATAATTTTGTCAACATCACATTATGAACATCATTATATACCTAAATTATGTACACATAGAATTTTCGTTTTCACAATGGTCTTTTGGACATTAAAAGATAAAAATGCCCTTAAAAATTCAAATATTAGAACTTTCAATAAAAGATAATAGAATAAAGCATAATATCAAAAAAATTTAGCGAACTGAATTGTAACTACTATATGCAAAAATTAAAAAGAATGTAAAAATTAAAGGAGAAGGGAAAAAAAAAAGAATTACATACAAAAAAAAATTTTAAAAATAAAAATATATATAAAAATTAAAGAAATAATATTAAAAAAATTCAACTTGAAAAAAAATTTTAAATTATGATAAACAGAAAATAATTAAAAAATTCTAAAAAAAATTAAGAAAAATTTTAATAACTAAAAATAAAAAAATAAAACAAGAATATTATAAAGTATTTTAAATTGAAAAAAATTAATTTTTTAATAAGAAGGAAACAATTAAGGAAAATTTTAAATTATCACTAAACAAATTATAGTAATAAAAAAATTAAACAAAAAGAAATTAAAAAAATATAAATATTATTTAATTAAAATTGAAAAAAATTAAAGATTTTTTTAAAAAAATAATATTTAATTTAAAAAATTATAACGAAAAAAAAGAATTTGGTAATTTGGTTAAAAATAATATTTAATTTGGTTATTTTCAATTTAAAATTCTTTATTTAATTTTTAAAAAGAATTAAAATTTTTAATTTAAAAAATTTAAAAAAATATATATCTAGGCCGAACATTCTGGCCAGATAGTCATTGTCGGCCCAACAGACCGACTGTTAACAGTCATTGGGCCGAACGTCGCAAGGTTAACTATTAACAGTCGGGTCAGTCATCGTTCAAGCTGCTCGGCTGGAAATCACTATTTTCAGCGAGACTAAACTATTTTTTGGCAAACTCAACACTAAATCACTACCCAAATAATGAAGAATAAACATTATAAACATCATAAAATCCACAAATAAACATTACAAAATCCACAAATTTTTCAAACATCATAAATGAAAAATCAATTTCATAATCCACAAAAATACTAATCTTGTTGAAGATAATGCCGTCAGTGACTGAGTTGTGTGGTGGTCGAACTGTGAGGATAGCAACTTCGACTAAATCCCGATTGTTAGAGATTGCGTGAGATTTTCTTTTTTTCTCACAATTCTCGTTTTTTATATGAGGGTAAAAATTGCTTATTTTAAATGATAAAACTTTTTATATTTTTTTACTAGTTAAAGGCCAATATGGAAATAGGTCGGGGTCAAGGGATCATTTCCATGTATTTCCTCAACTAAAAAAAACCTAGAATAATAAAGGGGTGGAGGTTGTAATAAAACGGAATATGAATCAACATATGATTCCATGTTTTGAACAATCAAACTTGGTGTACACTTTGGTGTATATCAATAGGGATAGCAACGGACGCGGGTATGCGGGTTGGCCGTTCCCACCTCT